CTCTTTTTTGCCCTTAATTAAGGCATAATAAGCAGTTCTTAACAATTTATAACGTGTTTATAGGGGAATTAATAATGTAATAAACTATTTATTAGCATATACTGTAAAAGGGGAGCCTTATTATAAAGTGGTATGAGTAAAACACTAAATTACTGTCATGGTAATGCAGCAAAATAAATCAACTTGTGCATATATATATATATATAAACTATGGGACAAGTCAAATAAACAAGTCATGAGACTTACAAATGTGTTTTTCTCTTGGGATAAATGTTCTCGGTGTTTTCTTATAGAATAATTTAAAAGATTTGGTGTGCAGTCAGTGCTGGTGTAGAACTTCAAACCTCAAACTGTGTTACAGCTACAGGGAAAATCAGACAACCAGTGAGCCATTTACACACAAACTAGTCCATCATGTACCCAAAAGACCACCGACCCAAGCAAAAATCATGCTCTGTGTAAGAACTCGACAGCTTCTGCGCCTCTGTTTCCATCCTTCCTCCACACACTGTCCACACATGTCTGCATCTAACTACTTTTTAATATCTCTATCCATAAAATGGTGAAATTTTAAACACTCCCAGAGACAAACCACCCGGCAGCCAATTAGGACCAGTTTTAAAAAAAAAAAATCTAGTTGCAGTCCAGTAAAACACTCACTCCTCACAGTGCAGCACCTCAAACCAACCATCCAGTCAGCCAGTGAACCCATCAGACTGCCGAGTTTTGTGCTCAGGGAGCATGACAGTGTTTCAACACACCAATTACAGTGAGACAGTAGTAAAGCTGTTTGTTAGCCTGGCACTCAGCCACGCTATAAGTACCGCTATCGATTGACAGGGAGAGACAGCGGGCGCATGATGAGAGGGAACACAGAAAGGATAAAGATGCAGAAAGGAAAGAAAAAAAGCCACTCTTTATGCTGCTGACATAACCGTACAGACAGTCACGATAAAGCACCAGATTGTTCATCGCATCTGCATCCGTCTGTTTGTGAGGCTATAACGTGGCTGAGATAAAAAGTGTCAGGTACCTCTACTTTCTGATGTCTCCTCTTGGCTTCCTAATTATCAGTTTGACAGTTCAGGAGAGGAAGGGTTCGGAAACAGACGGTGGGAAAACCATGGAAAGCTGGGTTAAGCAACATAAAATATAAAAGGGGCTTTCTAACATATCTTTTCCAGCCTGTTGTTTGTTAATGAGGGTATCGTTATAAACCTAATGGAGCACAGATACTTGTATTTACCCTTAAAAAGAAACCACAAAAATCAACATAAAATAACTGCACTGTCTGTGCACTTAAGAATGCAATGAACTTAATGTACCACTGAGTGTGACTGTAGATCATCAGCTGCATGAATAAGCTCATTTCAGAGCGACAGCACAGAAAATTATTACTCTATTATTATAAGGCTCAAATCTGCAAACAGCGTCAGCGTTTACCCAACCATTATCCAAGGAGGGCACCTGGCCCTGTCTACAGAAAAAAGCACCCAACCTACCAAAATTACCCCACTGAAATTTCTGCTACTACAGGGAGTGGAGATTGTCGCCACAGGATACCGTGTTTTGGAACTATAAGGCGCAATATCAATGAACGGGTCTGTTTTCATACGTAAGGCGCATTGAGCGAACCAAAATAGATAAGTCCAACTTTATTCAACTCATTCACAATAACCACATAAAATTGGTTCGAGGTCAGTAAGCACAACCAGGATTGTGGAGTATGGCTGATGGGGAGAGTGGCTGCAGCTGTGACTGACAGAACTGAGAACGGGTGTGACTGGTCGTGGCAGGCTGACTGAGAAGTGGTTGATGACACAAAGAAAACACAAAGAAACGATCAAATGAAAACACAAGAAACAACTAGACACATTTTTGTCTTCTTCTTTCGGCTGCTCCCTTCTTCAAGGGTCTCCACAATGAGCTAACTCGCACCAAGACTTGGCGACTGTTTTCACACCGAATGTCCTTCCTGACACAACCAGTTCACCGAGCTACCACAGCCTTCTGTGTGGAGCAGAGAGCTGCCATCTAGGGTGCCCGGGGGAGCAGATGGTGGGGTTAAGGGTCTTGCTCAGGGGCCCAGAGTGGAGCAAATGAGGGTGGAGGCAGGTGTGGGTGCTTCACCTTTCCCACCCGCATTTTGATGATGTCAGTCCAGGGAGTCGAACCGGCGACCTTCTGATCACAGGCTCACCTTCTCTAACCTTTGCACCACCACTTCCCCAAGAAACAGCTACAAACAAGAATCACTAAGCATAAATCAAATTAATCATAAAACACTAAGGGCTTCTAACAAACGGAGAAAATCTGATTCTGACGCACCAATAATGATGTGGAAATCAGATGGATGCTGCTGTCCTAAATGACCTATTTCAGATGTTTTTAGATAAAATCTTGTTCTTCTTTCAACTGTTCCCTCTTCAGGGGTCTCCACAGCGAGTCATCCTCCTCCATCTCACTCTGTCCTCACTCCAACTACTCTGTCCTCACTCCAACTACCTCCATGTCCTCTCTAACTGCATCCATATATCTCCTCTTTGTCTTTTTCCTGGCAGCTGCATTTCTAACATCCTTCTACCAATATACCCACTGTCCCTCCTCTGGACATGTCCAAACCATCCCAGTCTGACCTCCCTAACTTTATCTCCCAGTTGTTCAACCTGTGCTGTACCTCTGATGATCTCATTCCTAATCTTATTCACCCTTGTCACTCCTAAGGAGAACCTCAACATCTTCATTTCTGCTACTTCCATTTCTTTCTCCTGTGTTTTTGACATTACCACTGTCTCCAGACCAGACAGCAAAGCTGGTCTCACCACTGTCTTGTAAACTTTTCCTTTGCTGACACCCTTTTGTAAGCATTTAGATAAAATGCTATAGCTAAATGCTACAGCTAAATGCTGATGCAACACCATCGAGTGATAACTGCATCATCATCCAAATATTCAACAATAAGAACGTATTTCCGTTCTGAGCACTAACAAAACACCTGACACCACCCAACTTACAACGTGGTGAGTAACATTCATTCCTTCAAAAAAAAAAACAATAGTTTCTTTAACTCTGTTTAAAATAGAAAATGCTCCTCTTCAGTGCTTCCTTTGACTAAACAAACAGTTTTTTTCAAATGGCAAAAAATGAAAAGCTGTGCTAACTCGCTTTCTTTAAATAAAGCCTTGCTGGTTTAATCTTCAGTTTACCAATATGTTTTTAGAAAGCCAGCCTAACTCTACTACACATATTGCTCAGCAGGGATTTGATTGTCAAATATCAGCATAAATAAAAGCCTGATGGAACGAAGTAATGCAGATTAGACTGAAGGACTCAGAAACAATCATTATGTTAGTTCTTACACTAGAAACCTCTGTAAACAAACCACAGGGATATGCTTGTTATCACAGGGCAATATGTTGGATTAAAGTATCGCAGGGCCACAACCATTTGGAAGAGTTCGCTAAACTGCATAATTCATAACAGTAAACAACACCGAAAGCAATGTACATTATTAAAACTCTGAGCAAAATGCTTAAATGCCTTGAATATTACTTATCACACAAAAGGATTATAATCCTTAATTTTTCAAATGTTTCATCCCAGTCTGGCTTTTATTTGTTTGTGTCTACGACACTCACATCATTACTGCAGATGTGAATTTTGATTACCGTATTTTCCGCCGTACACGTCGCACCGCCCTATAAGTCACATCAGTCCAAATATGTCTAATAAAGTGGAAAAATCCATAAATATGTCGCTTCGCCGTATAAGTCACATCTATTATGTGTCACAATTGACGCGTCGCATTTGTTACATGTCACCACTGACAACCTGGAAATATGGGCTGGTGTTGTGCCAAAAATCCATGGGCTGCCAAACGGCAGCTGCGGGAGCGTACACGGGAGGACTTTAAGAAGAATTTAACAAGATTAACACTTAAAAACAATTATTTGTTTGCTCAAAATTATAGCAAAGGTGTGTCTCAGTCTAACTTTTGCTTAATAAATGCACGTTGACGGTCAAATCAGCTGCAATTTCAAAAGCCGATATGCGGAAGTGCAAGCGCACAGAGGGACGACTTGCTGTGCATTTCTTCTAAATTTTTACAAGATAACCACTTAAAAACAATTATTTGTTTGCTCGACATTATAGTAAAGGTGTGTCTCAGTCTAACTTTTGCTTAATAAATGCACTTTAATGGTAAAATCAGCTGCATTTCCAAAGTATTCGCTGCCTTGGTGCTCCGGGAGCATGCAGAGGGGGGAAATCAGGAAGGAGGAAGGCTGCACATTTCTTCAAAATTTAACAAGATAACCACCTAAAACAATTATTTGTTTGCTCGACATTATAGTAAAGGTGTGTCTCAGTTGAACTTTTACTTAATAAATGTACTTCAATGGTCAAATTAGTTGCATTTCGCCAGGGCAGCGCAGCGAAATGAAGCTGATTTGACGGTTGCTCCAGGCGAGCTGAACAAAGTTGGCAGACTATGGCAAGCCAATTCTGTCATTAATAGCCACTTTTACCTATTACATGACACAACAGTATGCCATACACCTCAAGTGCCATCTAACAGCTGAAAATGGTAGTGTTCAATATTTTCAATGTCAGAATGAATGAAAATGGTCATATCTCAGTCAAAAATTGGTTTATAAATATGGGGAAAAAAAACATAAATAAGTCGCTTCAGTGTATAAGTTGCAAGGCGTGTAAATTATGCAAAAAACTGCGACTTATAGGCCAAAAAAAACGGTAGTTACTGCTTTTATAGTTGAGAAATACATTAAGCCTTCCTGGAGTTTGCCTGCTCTTTGCATACATTTCAAATAATAAATACGAACGTCTTCAAATTGCTGTATTTTTTATTTACTGTAGCACTTGTTGCAAACACAGCTAATTTCTATATAGGACTTCAAAGACCTTTTGCGAACCATATGTATTCAACACCGCATACTTAAGTGTGATGTTGCTGTGCAGTCTATAAAACATTCAATACTCACAGCCAGCAGTATCTGCAGTGAGGAATGAGCCACTTCTATGAACTGAAAGTCCAGCAGGCAGCCAGATATAGATATATATCGGTGGTCCTCTGGTGCCCAGGAGGGAGGAGGGGTGATGGGTGTCACCCTGCACCCGGGGCCATTCTCCATCCACCAGGAGCGATGCATGGACAGGTTGAACGTCAGGACAAGGTCAGAGTCCTGCAGAGGCAGACAGACAGACAGGAGTTGAATCACAGCCTCAGACGGAGGACAGACGATGCAAAATGTCAGAGCTGGTTTAAACCATCAAACCACAATGAGAGCTAAAAATAAATGTGAAATTTAAAATTCCAATGATGTGGGCTCACTCAGATTACATCTGAACTGTGCAGATAAAAGATGGACATTAGGAAAAGAAGAGACGAGCCTAATGAGAGGTGTGAAACAAAATAACAGAAATAAAGCTGAGAGTTGAGAGCTTGGTTTGAGTTTGGTTTTTCTCGTGCATTAAAAGATGAAGCTTCCAGCCACGGCGGACAAAGAGCAACTTTCTGTTCTGGTGTCATGAAAGGGTCAGAAACTAAACGGCTGCTGCTGCGGTTTCAGGCAACACTGTAGATTTTGTTCTCGACTCATTTCTGAGGAGAAAATGATGGAAATGAAGAGGTGCATTTTTGTAAATGTGGCCACTCTAACATTGTACTTGGAAAAATATAAATGTCCATTTATTACTATGACTAAAACCCATTACATTTATGAATACTAAAATGTTTGCCTATAAAATGAGATACAGTAAATTATAGATATAGTTTATTCATATTTTAAATGTTTTAACCTTTCTCTATTTGGTTTTAATTAACTACCTTTTACACTAAATATCTATTAACGTTAACATTTAGAACGTGAAGGACCACTTTTAGCTGCAGTTTTTGTTTAGTGAAATTGATTTTACACATTAAAGCTATTTCCCTGCATTTATTAAACAGAGTGCTTGCTTTTACTCCCATTTGTTTAGTTTTCTTTTTATTCTAAAAGCTTTAAAGTGCAGAATCAATCAGTTATGACTTGTTTAAATAATGCACACATTAACAACCCCACTTAATAAAAAAAAGGACGTATATTATTCCAGAGGCAGCAATGCAAACACCACAGACATACGTCACACAGGCTCGGGCTTCGTTAGGCCTCGGTGTTCTTTAAACGATGGCTGGAAGCAAAATGAATTGTATTACGATAGCAAAACTGATGATAGTTCATTTTCCTTATATTTCATGTTACTAAAATGAGAAAAAGACATAAAGCCTGAAGAAAACTGTTGCAGCCTTCCCACATCCACGGGTAATTTGAAATTTTCTACAGTCATAGATGGGGCCGATCGAGTCATTTAAAGTCATTCAATCTAAAGCAATCTCTAAATCTCTACAGTATATTTTAATTCAAACAGAGTCTTGGCCCTTGATCCACCTAAACCAACATTTTGTTTCTACTCTCTAAATCTGTTTCATCTTCCACCTCAAACACACTTGACTCTTTAACCTCCCCACAGAAACCTCTTTATTTTTTTTCCCCTGTTCTCTTTTCTATTAATTTACACTGCAGCCTATCTTTCCTCTCACCCACTTCCTCTATTTTTCTCTTTTCTTTTTCCTTCTTTGGCCTCTCTCTATTTCAGCATAATGAGTAAATGCCTCATTAGCACAGGGCTCTGATTAATGCCATCTCCCCTTGTTGTGCTCCTCTTTTTAATGAGTGAAATCTCTAAATTTCTCTCTTGGTTTGTCTTCGCCATCACTCTCCTTCAGTCTGTCACTGCCTTGCTTTTTATATTCCTCTTTCTCACAACTCTTGTTTTTTCTGGTCACCCCCCACTCGTTTAAATAGTTGCCGTAGAAAGGGGTGGTAATTATTTCACTAAGGTATCATCCATCAGCGCTTCTCTAATGAGGCTCTTTAAAGACCACACGCATGCAGGCAAACAAATGTAATCCACTGTTTAAAGCTGAATCTGGCAAAATGTCATTAGTATCAGGCAGGATGCAGTGCTGCTAATTCTGCTATACTCCCTCAGTTTGTGAGGGTAATGAAAATGGGATTAGGAAGAATAATCTACCAGACTGCTCTGCAGTGAGCTATGCTGGATCAAACGTGGACTACAAAAACAACTTCAATCAACTTGAGTTAAAGCACAAAAACCATTTTAGTAAAATAATTTTAGACATGCTTCTGAGATAAAATATGTTTTATTATATAAAAATTGTATTGGAAAAAAAGAAACAATCAAAAGCCTCAGCTTACTTTAAGCTATACCGCGTTGTTGTTGGTTAGCATTAGCATGCGAGCTAATTTTAACATTTTATTATACAATTTATTTTAGGAAACATACTAATTTTTCAGTCTTGTCTTGTGAAAGTTTAATGATTAAAAAAAAGAGTTAATGTCTAAAGTTATATTATGTTACAACAAGAAGGGCATTAACTAGCTTAGCATAAATACTAGTTAGCTCTGTAAACGAACAAAGTCCATTCCTTAACATCTACAGTCGGAACATTATAGCTTTTATGTACCTCATTAGAAATGTATCTAAGATGTAGTGGATTTGTTCTAAATGTATTTCAACTAATGTTTTTAATATAAATCCAAGACAATTGTTTAAAAAGCTCTATGGTTATGTATCGACACACCGTGTCAAGAGGCAGCTAACAGGCTACCCATAAACATTTTCATTCGAAGATGCATGCAGCTGATCAGCTGATCAGATCTAAACTTTTATGAGCTTGCGAGCCTCTGTCTTTCCTTGTGTTGTCTTTCCACAGGTCTGCTCCGTTACCTTCAATGCAATGCATTGTAACACCGGAGTCGATTACACATTGTCCCTAAACTGAACACAGTTGATGTAACGTCTTCCAGTCTGGGGCTACAATTTCACATCATCACAAAAATAACTCCAAATTACAAGGAGACCTATAAAAGCACTTTCCACAGTGCTTCAGTTTGAGCATCTCTGAGGTTACAGGATTTCAAAAAAGAAAAAAAGTAAATGAGACAATGACTCCCCACACACCCAACCCCACATCACCATCTCACACAAACATAATAAAGATTTAGCTTATTGTTACATGCCCTCAAATACTCCTAATATTGATAAATGTAGTATACACAGAAGATTTAAAGACAAAGCTGAAAATAGTCCTTATTCAATAGTGGAATACAAAGAAATTAAATTGCTGCTGTGTACCAGCAGTGATATATTGATTGCATTTGGGGGGATTTATACAGCAATGTTGCATTTAACCCACTAAGGAGATAAATCCTTAGCTTGAAATAAAATCTTGATATATTATTTTGGTGATGAATGAGTTGTTTGGTTTACAACCTTGACTTCTGGTAATATTTCTATCTGTATCTGGGCCGAGATGGGGTAGAGGTAGGGCAGCCGACTTGGGACCCGAAAGTCCCAGGTTCAATCCCCAGCCATTCCCACATGTCGTGGTGTCTCTGAGCAAGACACCCAATCCCTAATTGCTCCCTGGGCACTTACAAAGTTGTCCACTGCTCCACCTGGGTGTATCCCAGGTGGAATGGGTTAAATGCAGAGAACAAATTTCGCCATTGTATGGAAGCATACAATGATGACAACACATAGCACTTATTATTGTTATATGTGTGTTTCTTACTAAGCACCTTTACTGACTGTTTCCCAATCATCTTTTCACACAATAACTACACCCTGTCTATAATTTCCTGTGTGTTAGGATCACGCTCTCATGCTCTCAGGTTGTTGTCACAGACTGTGAGCTAGAACCGCTTCAATGAGCCACATCTGCTTTTCCCCCTGTCTTCCTCTTCACCTCTCCTCTCTTTATGCCTCCGGCCCTCTCCCTCCCCGTCTCCTGCTCTCTCTCAATTTCCCCTCAATTTCCCACCTCCGTATTTTCTTTTGTCTTCCTCTCCCAGAAGGTAAAAGAATAAAGGGGAGAAAAAATACCTTTCAGAGAGGTCTATTATCTGATTGCCTGATAGTCAACAAGGGAGATGTGAGGCCATTTTAACGATACCTGGAGCCTGGAGTCTTGTTCAACAGTTTAGAAATAAACAATTAAAAACTTCGGTTTTTGTCTTTGCATTTCCAATTATAAAAAAGAAGCAGTAACTTTGAAAGTATTACCATGAGATTCCACTGTTTATGTTCTAATTTCTGACATCAGTGCAGTTTTGAGCCTTCATACTCAGGTTCAGGGTATTCATATTCCAGAGTAAAAAGGTTCAGGGTAGCATAGTCCACACATGACTTTGGAATAAGAATGATTCTATTTTTATCTTAAACAAAAATTAGATCCAAAAATTGATATTTTTTTAATATAATTATTCAATTCCAAAACCTCTGATGTCAAAGCATGGGCAAGAGGGGTCAGTAACAAGGTAGCTCAGAGATTAAGTGCTGTAGCATTGTAATCCTGGGGTTGCTGGTTCAAGACCAGGTTGAATCAGGAAGGGCATATGGCATGATACAACTACCATATCTTGCTGTGTCAACCCCTTCAGAAAGGAGCAGACAGGTACAATTTTGGGCGGGAAAAAAGCAGAAATTACTCCTACCAAAGCACACCGCTGTCATAGCTATATTTTATCTGTTTTACAAGACTGCTCAAGAAGTTAAGATAAAAATTTGCATTAAGAATGCCGGTAAACATTCAGAGTCGTATGTTGAGCCAAATTTTATTTTGTTTTATTTAGCCTGAGTGAACATCTGCAACATCAGACTCATCTTGTATTGAGTTTGTGCTTAGCTCATTTACTCAGTATAGCTTCATACACATCTGACAAAAATAGACACAAATTGTGTTCTTAGCAACGATAAGTGGGGAAAAAAGCTACATCTAATGGAACGATGAGCACATTCATAAGTGTCTGTGATCATCCTCTTTAAGGAGCTGGAGTGGTACACAGTCACCCGTGGTGGAATCCATATTCGACAAAAAGAGACACTAGAAGACGAATGAGGAAGAGCTCACGAAAATGCTAAATTGTTTAAGTCGAGTCAGGCGTGAATGTAACAAAGCTGTGACTCTTTTCAGCTAAAAACCTCGTTTTTCTTTTATAAAGAATGTTGACGTTACATTTCAGTCAAACATCTGGACTGTATTTGAAATGAATTTGATCAAATGTGTTAAAGCAGCGCACATCTGTAACGACTCCTCCCAGAATCTCCATTTATCTTT